GGAAAACTAAATGTCTTAAATTATCATTTAATTTTGACCTATTCCCCAAAAGGTTAAATTTTTTTCCTTAGTTTTTTCCATATAAGAGCTCAAAGAACATGAATCAACTTTTACAATTATAAAATAACACTCAAGTTGTGATTTTTTCTTTAATTCACATGCTATAGCCTCAAAAAGTAGTCTACTTGGCAACTTCCTTAAAATATGGTTTAGAAGAGAGTATATTTTAACATACCCCCATCCCACCCCCAAAAACAAAGCAGCATCCCACTATAATAGGATAAATTAGGTAAGGACTGCATGGAAATATGCCAGAATTCTGGAATCCAAACTCCTGATGCAATCAACCAATAAATTTAAGATAAATCAGATCACGATAGCTAAAGGGGATGTGCTGTATTTCTATGGCTTGCCTACAAAATTCAGTAAAAAATAAAACTGAAAAAGGAATTATGTTCTCTGTAGTCTCAATTTTAGCAGTTGCTGAAAATAAAGAAGTACCTCATAAAACATGAAACAGAAACAGACAATTATCTACCATGATAGTTTAAAAATACTGCTGGTTTATTTTACCTTCTCAAGAAAACTAAATATGTTTTGCACTAAAAATACCAAAGAACAAAGTGAATAACTGAAGTCCAACTTAACATATGAAGCCTGTCCAGAAGACCTTCTAAGTAGAGGTGAATACTCTGTGGAAAGCAATTTGGCCATTTGACATGAAATATGTTCATGTCCTTTGACCCAGGAGTGCCAATTCTGGAAACCATCCTTAGGGAAGGCAGATCAAATTGATGTACAACCACAGCAAAACCCTGGAAACCACTCAAATGTCCAATAATGAGGAAATGATCAAATATATTATGGCACATCCACAAGCTCTGCAATAATAAACTATTTTTTATAGGTGCAATGCTTTTGGTATCCATGTTCAGTGACCATCCCCTTTATCTTAGAGAAAGTTAATAAGTGCTTTAAATTGTCAAATATCCTCTACGTCAGTAATTTAAAATGCATTATTGCACTCTAATAGCTTCTTTATGAGAACATTTGGCTTTTAAAATACTAGGTCTGCATGGGGAAAATAATAGGAAAGGGGTTGGGGGACAAAGAAGTTGGACAAGATTTTTCTTGGCAGTATGCCTCGTGTTCCACAACTCTGAATCTATATTTGAAGACTACTTTATTGGAAAGCTAACTTCTACAGTAAAAGTTCAGATTTGTTCAACTTTAGACTTGAGACACAGCATATTTTCTTTTAAAACTATTTTTGCCACTCTTACCCCAAAGTAATTTAAGAATAAGCACTCTGAGCACACATAATTATTTCTGCTTTTTAAAGATATTAAGTGTAGTTCAATAACCCAATAATGCCAGTTAACCAGATATTTAAATGTCAAAACATAATACTCTACTAACGATACTTTTTATAGATTATCATATCTTTCCCTAATTCATGTCTCCATATACATAGATGTATGTAGATACACACATATTGTCCTCAAATGTTAGTCAATAATGCTTAAGACATTTGGATTTAAAATGCTATCCAGATTCTTAAGAGGAGTATATTTACATACAAAAGATTCTTAAAGGATTAAGATCTCCCAAATCACAGCAGTATGATTCTACCCTCAGCAGGATCTACAGAGGCAGACAAGGGAAGTAGTGCACTGGCCCTGGGTTCTAATATTAGCTCACTAGTTAGCTTTATTATAGAAATTTCACTTAACTCTTTGGATCTCCTAGCTTTATCTATAAAATGAGTATATAATTAACCCACTTACCTAAGGTTTCCACGAACTCTTTTAAAAATGATTCTAGGTTCAGATTTCTACCATCTTCCCAAATATCTCCTTTTCCTAATTCTCAGCAGTAATAAACATTTTCTCAGACGGCTTTGAGGTATCAACACTTCACAAAAATGTCGACAAATTTTTGCAATACTATTCATTTCAAAAATACACACTGTCTATAAAACTTATCCTATCACATTTTGGAAAACCCTATTAAGCATTTCTTGGTAACTATCTTATAACGCTCTAAAAGTCTCAGTTAAAATAAAATTACTCAATACACATTACACATAGAGGGCACATGATTTATTAGGCAATAACTGCCAGAATACACAGCAATGGGCAGTATTTCATTTCCTAATACTAATCGGAAAAATAAAGACTGGAGGTGTTTTGTTTTTTTTAATGTCTAGAACAAAGAAAATACTATGTATGTTAAGTGTCTCTACATAAAATATTACATAAAATGAAGCATCATTTGAGTTTTAAAACATGAAGAATATGAATTTTAGAACTAAATCTCTTGTAAGTAAACTGCCTAATTTCACAATAGACCAAATCATACACATAAGTAATTCAGCTAAACAAACCTTTTGAGTGAGTTGAATGACATCCATAAATTTTTCTTAACTTTTAAGACAGAAGATACAGCCACATTTTAATTTTAGATACAGCCACATTTTAATTCTATGTTTGCAAAAAGTTGATTTTTACCAAAAGAAAATTGGCCTCATCTGAAGCTTTTCATACCTGTTGAATTTGAGTAAACAAATGGCCAACTTTCTAAAGTGACACATAGTACTCAATACATCATTATTCCCGTGTCGATAAATCAAAAATTTTATACAGAAGACAAATAATAGTGCAGCTGATTTTTAAAAAATAAAAAATAAAGCTAAGTTTACTATTTTGGACAGAGTGTTTCCATCTGAAAGTCTATAAACTCACCTTTAATTACTAACCTTTTCCTCACCCTCATTATATTCTGTAAGAATCACTGATTAGGCTGGACTCTGAGATTTTTTTTAAAACAAGCTATGAAATTTACTGATATCTCTTTTTTTCGCATCTTAAAGGCCATAGCCAATCACAGTTACAGATTTTTTTTTTCTTAATAAGAGCCTACCACATTAGGGAATAGTCTAATGTTTAACTAATAGCAGACCCACCCACTGATTCAGCTTTCTATGAGTTTTGCTGTCAAAATAATCTAATGAAAAAGAGGGAGGGGGTCGGCATGATGTGATTACTAGCCACAATCCATAGATACAGTGCCATACCCCACATCTGGATACATACACGAATTCAAAAGCTATCACCCAGTTAAATATTTTTCAAACATTGTTTTTTCATTAAACAAGTATAGTCACTACAAATAACATCCACAGTTACTATTCACCTAGCCCTTCCTAGGGGCAGGCATGGTGCTAGTACTTAATATCTGTCATTTCATTTACTCCTCAGAGCAACTGTAAGAAACATATTATCATCTCCATTTAATAGAGAGTGCCAAGGGCTAAAACAGGATATAAAGCTGCTAAGTGGCAGAGCCAGACTGCAAACCCAGGGCTGCTTGACTTTCAAAGTTCATGCTAATTGTATTAAACTACATCGTCCACTAAATCATGCTTATGTGTTTAGAAGTTCCTCAAAGATTTAATAAACTTCTTCAGTTTTTCCAAGTATAATCACTTCTCTGCAACAAATACAACTGGCTGTAGTAATGTACTTAAACCAACATTATACATTAATTCAGTCTTGTCAAAAGGGTAGAATTTACAAGGAGACTCCGATTCTTATCTGAAGGGAATACCAGAAAAGTTACAGTACACTGGGCTCAGATGCACTCAGGCTGATCTTTTCATTATCATATAAAAGATATCATATGGACACTTAGTTCAAAGCTTTTCCTTATTAATTTTAGGGGTAGTATATACATGACCCACTCTACTATACCTGTTGAAAAGATAGTCATATCAAGCCAAAAAAAAAACCCCAAAAAATCTATATCATAATACCAAAGTGCCAGACACGCAGATACATTTCTTTGTATGTACACGCAATATTCCTCAAAGGAAGTATGGATTTCTACTAATCTATTTTTCTCCAAGTCTTACTCATCCCTGTTGCTCTATTAACTCAGGGACTGAGAGTCACAAGTCATTTTTTCTCCAACACAGAGCTGTGTTTGAATCATTCCTGTAACAAAACCAGTTGGACGGCTAGCTCTCCTATTAAATAAGGATTTCAACCATCATCTAAAAGGTGGAAGAACTGCTGCCATCTCTCTTTACAACAGCTCTAAGCTTATCCCTGACAAGTATAAGCTCAGACTGAGTCACAGCAACTCCTGGGCTCTAAATAACGACTGACAAGAACCTATCGTTCTTATTCCTCCCTCCAACCAAACAAGCAAAATCTAATAATCATCCTTCCACTCAATCACCACTGAATAAACACCACATTTCATATAGATTCCCAGGACAATATCCCTCCCAGACACCCATTCCCAGGGCCTGGAATAAGCCACGTTCCTGCCCAGTCCCTGCTCTTCTCTTCAGCAGAGCCACCCGTATTTTTAAAGGTAGTTAACTTTATGCTGCCTGCAGATCCATCTTACCCCTTCGCTTAAGACGGTCAGCTCTAAACACACACACACACACACACACACACACACACACACACGAGTGAAAAGCAATAACTGAATTACTGGGGACCAGCCGCCCACAAAATTGAGGAAGCAGCCACAGTGGTCTCCTGCTTTCCTTACAACGGGGCTCTCCGTCCCGAGTGGCTGCTGGAGGGAGGCTCTCAGGACTGACAGCCTCGCCAAATCCCACCCTTCGGAAAAGTGACGGGCTGGAGTTAACCCTTCAGCTGCCCGCACAGAGCAAATGCGAAGGAAACCCCAATCCCCCAAATGCTTTAAAAATGTGGCAAGGCCAATTTCACCCTTTCCAAGCCCCGGCCGCGAGGAGGACACAGCCACCTGAAGCTGACTACATGGAATTAACCCCTCAGCCGCCGACAGCGGGCACCCACACGAAGGAAAGCCCAACCCCGACCCTCGGGGAGGGGACAGCCGCGGCGTTGCCCCCCGACGCCCGCGCCCCACCGCGCTGAGCGGAGATCCGACCAGGGCCTTAGGGCGAGCGCCGGGCCGGCCCGCGGGCTTCGGAGCCGCGGCGGGCGGGCGGCACTCACCGCGATGACATTGACGAAGGTAGTCTTGCCCGAGTACTGCAGCCCCACGAGCGTCAGCTCCATCTCCTCCTTCCAGAAAAGCGAGCGGAACCAGTCTAGCAGACGGGAGATGAGCGCCAGCATGATGGCGGCCGGCGGGGAGGACGGGCGGGCGGCGGGGCGGACAGCAGGAGAGACGACTTCGGCGCAGGTGGGCCTCGGCCCGGACCCCCCAACGGCTCCTCGGGGCCCCGGCACTACGCGGGCGTACACGGGCGGGCGGCGTCGGCCGGAGCCAGGAAGCCCAGCAGGTCATATGACTTGTCCTACTCCCCCCCACGCTCGATCCGCGCCGCCGTCCGCGCCCACGGCAAGAGCGGCGAGGCCCGCCCGGCCAGGCGCGTCGGCTGCCTGCAGCGCCACCTGGCGGGGCTTCCCTGCAGCACCCTGTACCGGCGGGCTGCCCTCGGGCCGGCTTTGGGCGTCCATTCCTCCACCCTTTCGTATTGTTAATTCATCATTCTTTCTACGATTGTTTATTGACAGTCTACTATGTGCAGAAAGGCTTCAAAACTCTGGGGGATTCAGCATGGAATAAAAGTCCCTTCCGACATTTTTGGGAATAGCAAAAGATGAGAAGCCACAAGTGTCTATCAGTAGGAAACTGATTAAATAAACTCTAGTGTGTTCTCAAAAGGGGATACCGCGCAGCTGTTAAAAAAGAGCGAGAGAGAATGAGGAAGTTCTCTATAAACTGATGTGGAATAATGCCCAGGAAATATTTTCAAGGAATATAAATGTAAAGGGTAGGCTATGTATACAATGATACTTTTGTTATAAGATGAGAAAAGAATACATACAGATAAACATATACAAATATGTATTATATTTGCATAAAGAACTACGGGAAGACTAATAAATATGGCTTCCTATGGATGTAGGGGAAACTGGGTGGCTGGGGCAGGAATGGGAATGAGACTTCTCTGGATATCTTTTTATACCATTTTAACTTTCAACCATGTAAACCTGTTCAAAAGTTTGATTTAATTAAAAAGTAAATAAAAATATCTGCAGGGCTTTCAAATTAAGGAAAAAATCCCTGCCCTCATGGAGCTTACATCCTAGTGAGGAGACATGCAATACAATAAACAAATAAATACAGGATATAATGCCTTGTAGTATCAAGTATTATAAAGAAAACTGAACAAGAGGACACAGGTGTGGCACCTGCTCTAGTGCTATCAGTGTAGATCTCTCAGAGGAGGCGGCACTGGATGAGGAAACTTAAGGAAGTGAAGGCACACATCTGGTAAAGCACACTGCAGATAGAAGGAGCAGCAAAACCCTGAATGGAGAAGGAGCACGGAATGCTCTAGAAATAGTGTGGCCACCTCAGACCGATCAGGCAAGAGTGGTAAGAGTTGGGGATGGAAAACGAGGTAGGGAACAGAGAAAATAGTTCATAGTGGCCCTAGTCCAGATTTTACTCTTGGTGTGATGGGGAACTAGGAGAGGGAATCCATTTATATTTTTAAAAGTTCACTCTGGCAGCTCCATGGGGAACTGACTGCAGGAAAGCATTGTGGCAACATGAACTGTGTCCCTAATTATGTCCCCAAAAGATATGTTGGAGTTCTAACCCCCAGCACTTCAGAATGTGATCTTGTTTGGAAATAGGGCCATTGCAGATGTAATCAGTGAAGGTGGTCATACTGGATGAAATAGGGTGGGCCCTTAATCCAAAAGAGGCAGTGTCCTTATATAATGTAATCTGTGACGACAGATAGACACTTGAAGCATTGGAGCTCCAAGCCAGGAAACACAAAGGAATGGCCTGCAAACCACCAGGAACTAGTGGAAAGACAGAGAACAGATTCTCTCTTACAGCCTCAAAAGGAAATAGCCCTGCCAGCACCTTGATCTTGGACTTCTAGCCTCCAGAACAATGAGAACAGTATTTCTGTGTTGTTAAGCCACTCTGTTTATGGTCCTGTATTACAGCAGCCCTAGAAAACTAATAAAGAGGGAAAGGGCAGAAGCAGTGAGATGGGTTAGAAAGCTGTTGTATTAGTTTAAGTGATGATGGTGGCTGGGACCACTTAGGTGTTAGCCATCACAGAGCTTCCATTCTGGTGGGCAAGACCACAAACTGATTTCAAAGAGAAAATGAACATTCCTCCATCATTACAATTATTGTAATTCTCTTCACTTCTAAAATCATTTAATGTAATGTAAGTCATTCTTATCTCCCAATTCTAATTTCCCATTTTAAAAAAACTATAATTTTTTTATAAAAGCACAATATGATGGTCATAAAAAAATCAAACCAATCAGAGGTGTGATTAGAAAAAGGCTATTTATCTGTTAGCATTCTCAATCGCCCATCTCTGAAGTAACCCATTTTAACAGTTTACTCTTTTTTAATCTAATAAACACTTATGCACATATGTGGGGCCTAGAGTTTTCTCTCACATGCAAAAATGGAAACATGTTGTAAATTTTACATCTATTGTAGCCACATAATGGATATACCATATAACGGAGCTACTGAACACTTCTTTCCAACTCTGTGTTCATCCATGTCACATTGGTAGACTGAGATTGGCCATAGTGGGCCATATGGAAATTGGAAAACATTACAAATCAGGATTCCCCTTCCCCAGAGAGCTGGTTGTTAGACATTTACTAGCACACCACTAATAATACCCAATTCACAGTATTACAATGAAGATTAAATAAAACAGAATTAGATTAAGTAAAGTAAGGACAGGTCAGATGATATGTTTACTGCATATAGCCTACATAGGTAAAATGACTGATTCTCATACCAGCTCCTCTACCCACCTGATATATGAAATGTGCAAGTTGCTCAACCTCTTTATGTCTCCATTTGCTATAGAGAGAGAATATTGTCAACTGCCTCAAAGGATTCTTGTGAGGAGTAAATAAATGAATCCACATGAAGCTCTTAAAATAGTGCCTGGTACAGCATTAACATTCACTAACTATTTATTATTTCTGGAACAAAGTTTCATAGTAACTCAGGCCAATTGGTTAACAGTTTAGGGGCTCAGTTTTTCCATCTGCAAAATAGGGAAAAAGATACTGCCCTTGTTTGATGTTTTAACTGAAGAGGCATTATCTGCTGGAGTCAAGCTCAGGAGTGTACAGTCCTATTGCTATATTCATTCCTCTGAACTTTGTCTGAAATTAAGTTAAAAGAATGAGATTGTGAAATCATGTGCTAGGATATATTCACAAGTCATGTGTAAAGGTCAGGAATCCCAGTGTTCTGGGAATGTGGATGGGGAGAACAAGGACAAGAGATAAAGGTGACCCATGTGTTTGCTTTATGGCTGCTGGATAAGAAAGGTAAAATTGTATGCAATCAGCTGAATACATCCCTGAAGGCCATTCTAGTTTAAGCTGTGGGAAAACTGAGGCACAACAGAGGAACTGATTTTCAACTGCAACCTTTTGAAGGTCAAGGACCATTACTACTTAAATGAACAAAGCCATTTTAGGTAACTGAGTCAATCAGTATGGGGACTCTGAAATCTTGTCTCTCGGGCATACATTTTGTTAGCTTCACATTTGTGTAATAGGATAATAGTTTTGGCCTAAGAATAAAATGGGTGTGACAGAATCCATATGTTCCCACTGGCCTGATTATCAGCTTCATAGCATCCCAAAGTCACAGCACCTGGACCTTCTCCATGGGACATTTCTGCATTTTGACCAAGTCAGTCGAGGAGCCAGAGTTATTCATTAGCCATTGATGTCACTCCAGTCATATAAACAGGCCCTCCAAAATTTGCAAGGGCATAATGTCAGCTGTTTTTTAAAAGCAGAGCATCAGCCTCAGGAAAAGAGAAGTTAAAACCAGTTATGGAGTTCTCTTTTGAAGGAACATTCCTCATTGTTTTAAAACTGACCTAGTCAACCCCATTATAAGAAAAACCAATCATATGAGAATTCTAAAGATAGAAAACAGACACTCAGAGCAGTGCCGGGTGGGTGCGAAGAGCACTCATCTAGGAATTCAAGACACCACTCTGTTAGGAAGGAAAAGCCTTAACCTGCATAAAAAGTTCTTATTGTGGCTTTAAAAAAGCCAGAATAGCAGTGTTATCTTGGGTAAGTCATTTCCCCTCTCTGAGTTTCAGTTTTCCTGATCTATAAAGTGAAGGGTTTGGGTAAAGTAAAATTTAAGAGCTTCTTATCTCTAAAACCTTATGATTTCATAGCAATCTGACTGAAATATTTGGGAAGGGATTCCTACATGGGAAAGGAAATACAGTAGGTCCTTCAACACCTCGGGTGTTTCAGAAATTGACCCCCCACACAGGTGAAAATCTGCCTGTAACTGGACTCCTCCAGACCTTAACTACTAATAGCCCACTGTTGACTAACAGTTGACAGCTAACATAAATAATTGATTAACACATATTTTGTATGCTATAAGTATCATAAGCTGTATCCTTAAAATAAAGTAAGGTAGAGAAAAGAAACCTTTTTTTTTTCAAATTGTCACAGATCTCAAAAAAACTTGCCAATATATTTATTGGGGGAAAAAAATCTGCATGTAAGTGGACGTGAAATAAGAATTTGCACTAAATCTCAGAGGTTACTCCCTTAGCAATGGTCTGTGAAGTACTGATGATGACATTCTCATTCCGGGCCGTGCCAGAGTAAAGGGAAGAAGAAAGGGGGTCTCATGTTGACAGTAGGAAGTCCTGATTCAGCGTCTCGGGAGGAAGCTGTCTACTTCCATCTCAGCTTCTCCTCTGCTTCATCCAGATCATCATCGTTTGGGGTGGATTTAATTCCCAGTCAATGTTAGTGTTTCAAGGGGGAAGCTTGCATTGGGAGCCAAGCACGTGTGGGTTTGCATTCTCATTCACTTCTGACTTTTGGCAAATTACTTCACCTCTCTGAACCAAAAATGGAAATAATACCCACTTTTCAGGGTGGTCACTGAAAGCCCAATGCAACAATGTAAGAAAAATCTCTTAGCCCTGGGTTCTGGCCCAGAGAAAGTGCTCACTAGATACCAGGGTCCTTACTTTCACATCCAGAGCCAGTGTGGAAATTCCCTTTTGTGTGTTCCTGTGACAGGCATGCTACACAGAGAATGAGCAACACAATTCCCCCTTCTAAGAGTTCACATTCTACAACAACACGTCCTGGGAGTCATCTCTGGGTTCTCCCTACCAGCACATTAGGAACAGTTAGTACCCATTGCGTGGCTGCCTCAGCACTACTGGCCCTGGGACCAGAGGATTCTGAGCTGTCGGCAGCCATCCTGTGCACTGTGTGGTCCTGTGCAGCATTTTTAGCTGCCGCTGA